ACATAAACAAACATCCACACACACTCTCATTCAATCCTACAAGCAATTTAGAGTCACCAGTCAACCTAAGCTGCATTTCTTTGGACTGTGGGAGGAAGCACAGGGAGAACATGCAAACTCCAAACAGAAAGGCCTCGGGCTCGAACCCGGAACCTTCTTGCTGTGAGGCGACACTGCTAACCACTGCCTCCCCCCGACTCAAAATGAATTCAGTTTTTTAAAATTAACTATTAGCATTTCTTTAGACATTGAGACGTTTTATTTTTGAAACACAATTGGGTGACTTTGTGCCTGCAAGCATGGCAACCTATCAGAATGCGACAGACCAATAGAGGGCAACACAGGATGCAGCTATGCAGCTAGGACTAGTCCAAAGATAATACAGTTTGGATTCAAGGATTATGTTGTTGATGACGGTAGTAAGAAGAGAACAGGGGTATGCAAGTATGTAGCAAAAAAATCTGCAACATGACCACAATTTGGCTGGTCAAACATTAGCAAGAAAGCTAGTGTTAAATATTAGATTAAATAAATTAAATATTAGTTAATATTAGATGTGGCTTTAACTCGATTGTGGATTTTATTGATAAGAGTTTCTGATAGGTATGAAATCTATGCCTTTTTTATTTAATTGCTATTAGTTTATAGGCTACGAATGCACAATTGAGTATCAGAGGAAATTTGTGAACGTTTCACTTAAATGATAATCAGAATTTTGTACGACTTGACTTGCGACTTGCTTGACTTATAGTAGGAACTCGACTTGCTTGGTAACCGGGGACTTGCTTGTGACTTGTACATGTGTGACTTACCCCCACCTCTTGAGGGAAATGTGAAGCTAGTGATAGATGATCTGATACACAACAGAAAATCAGCTGTGAGAAAAAAAGTGGAATAGAGATAGAAATAAAACAAATAATAAAATAACAGCAAATAAAAAACAAATAATGAAGACATTATTTAAATGTCAGATACATCAGCAGATACAGTGTATAGAATGTAGGATAGCTGTACTGTAAGTGTGTTTGCACTCTAACACAGTCACAGATATGAAAGTGAAACTAAGCTGAGGGGATGGAAGGCACTGCCAGTAAACCACATTAGCATCAAATGCAAATAAGTAGGGGGCTAATGGCTGGACAGGTGCAGACTGGGCCTCTAAATGACAAACATGCGCGCACACACACACACACACACACACATACACAGTCGCAGACACACACACAAATGAGATGGATGAATTAAACATGGGTGGGCTCGGTTTGGGGGGCTGGCAGGGCTGACATAAAGTCAATGACATACATTATTCACTAGTGCACGTTAGCCCAGCCAAGGCAACACATGACCTCTCACCCCAGGAAGTGCATCCAAACATAACAACCAAAACAATGAAGGGGTTCCCCACTACAGAGGGAGACAAAGAGGAGGAGGATCCAGAAAATGCATTCCTCAAAAATATTACTGGTGGAAAAGTTCATTTGTTCCTTCCAGACATGTCAGGTGATTTGGTACCGTCTGGCCATACCAGGTCTAGAAAGATGAAGCAAAACTGTTTAGTATGTTTCTGGTCCTAACTAACTAACTAACTAACTACCCACCATGAAGCTGAGACTCAGCCTGTTCCACTGGCTCACAGAACAGGAAACTGTCGACCATGACATCATCTTCCCCGGGAGGAGCACTTCCTGTCTGACATTCTTCACTCAAGACACATACACACTCGCCAGGAAATGGCCTCTATCAACACACACACACACTCCTCGGGAAATAGCCAGCATTGGTGCGGATACACAAGTACAATCACACATGCAAGGAAATGGGCCACATCAACAGCAGGCTGCAGAAGTGTGTGCAAACGCAAACCCTCACAAACACACACTCAAAAACAGCAATAAACCTGAAATAACATTGACTGTGCATGTAAACTTGACACCCCACTTACCCCCACCCCTACCACCACCACCACCACCACCATTCCCAGCACTGTGAATGGAAAGGCGGATTATGGGCTATGCCGGGCTATCCACTGGATCCTTATCTCTGGTCACAGAGAGTTTCTCTCTCCCCCTCGAGAGATGCTCTCCCTGCCTGGGGGACACCCTGCAGGAGGCCAGGGGGATCTGGACAGGCAGAAAAGGGCCACAGGACACAGGTGGCAGAAGGCAAGAGAGGACACATGGGACCAGAGGGACAGTCATACCCGAGCTGGGTTGAGAGATTTGCCCACAATTACATGGGTGTAAATGAACAACAACAGTTCTGTGGGGAGGTAATTTAAGAAAAGCTATGCAGAGAGGCAGCAAAGGTGAGAGGGAAATGTGTTTGTGATTTGAGGCCTATGCAGGCAGATGATAGACCGACTGGCAGTGGCTGTATATGATTAGCCCCACGCTAACCAGGAGTGAAAGCGAGAGGTGGAAGTGAAGGTGTGTGTGTGTGTGTGTGGGTGGGGGTTTAAGGTTAAGGGGTTCCCCTCATATTATCCGGCCCCTGTAAGAGGCTAAAGTGGACCACACATTTCCCTGGGGAAGACATAAAGAAGCGCATAGGGGCTTCTAACCTTTCGGCTGCTTCCCCTCCCCAGCGTCAGGCGAAGGCCTCTCAGAATTTCTAAGAACTCACCTATCAGTTTAAATTCAAATAGATTCTGAAACTTGTCGCAGTTGTAAAACTAAATGCTGCTGCAACCATGATAGTCCTAACCTAAAAGCCAAAAAGCAGGACAGACTGTGGAGGATGTTTCTTTCAAATTCTGTAAAAAATGAAGTTAAAGTGCCTTTTGCTGTCAGAGCATAAACAACTGTGCTACATAATTAAAATCTGAATCATTGCGCTCCTTGTTGATGCATTAAAACCCAGAGATATTCTCATTGCAACAGGAGGCGAGAGAAAGAGAGGGGGTAAGAGAGATTCTCCTGGTGAGTGAGTACAGTACCCAGAGTGGTGCTGACCCACACTGTACCAGATTTGTTCTCCTAACAATCAAATAAGTTTCTCATTAGCTGACTTTATTTTTCCTCATTCCTGCAGTTTTGCTGCAGTGGCCTGTTTCTCCCTTCTTAACGAGAGAGCTAATTAGGCAATCAGACCCATTACTCTTCCAGAAGAGTTAGCGCTAGCCCAGCTAATTAGGGCTGTAAAATCTAATCATCTCTGCGAAACAGCAGAGGGCTAACGAGCCCATATTTAACGAACTAAATAACTTCAAGGGTGGAGAGGGGCTGCTGATGGTATTTCTTTATGAATTTGAAAGAGGGGGACTCATGGTAATTGAGTCAGTTTCCCCCTCACAGTTGTTTGTTTGTTTATGAATCCTTGATTATTACAACTGCCAAGAGTATATTGGTACTAAATCAGTAAATGTATAAACCCTCCTCTCATTATTCCCCCCGTCCCCCCTTTAAAAGTTAGAGTAGCTCCCCCCCCCAACTGCTCTCCTCTCACCTGACCTATTTTTTTGTCCAGCACGAGTGCTTGCTGGAAAGAAAAAGAGAGAGATATTGCTGTTGTTTTCCATCCCCCTGTTCTAATTTGTTGTTCGTTAATGCTGCCCTCACACCTGAGCCATTGTGTGCCAGGGGAATACCGCCAGTGAGCAACCACAACACATGTTCAGTGTGGAAAAGCTGCTCACAGCAGAGATCGGCCTGTTTCACCAAGGCAGCTCTGCTCAAACTGCGGAAAACTGAAAGGGAAGGTTTAACCCTGGTGAGCTAGCATGGTGCCCGTAGAGAGTGCGCCGATGGGAAATTCAACAAGTATGTGCAGAGGAAAACAAAAATCAGAAATATGGCGCAGATTGATGGGCAGGCGTGTTGTCTGAGGCCACGTGGTTGGGTGCAGCTGTCTCAGGGAGCACTGAGGTGAGGCCTTCCGCTTCGCTGGAGCAGAACGAGGGTGGCGCACGCACACACACAAATTCTCACACACACACACACAGGTAAAGAAGTGCTTTTGACAGAGCAACAGTGTGAACAGGACATCTGTGTTCATCAGATAGCACAGGTCACTGCCTCATTAACACTCACACAAACACATTTGAATGTGACAAATTCAAATCAGCCTTGAAACTCTAAATAACCTACATTTAATCCTTTTCACCTGATAGTGCAGTTGTTTGGGCATACTATCAATCACAAAATACAGATAAGGTGAAACTATGGCATGTTTATGGATAAGCACTTCATTGTGTAAGTGTGTACTGTCATACTTGTCTTGATCATAGCAGCCCTAAATCTGCATGCTTCAGTGACTGCTCAGGCGTAAACAAATAATGTCCCTCACACTGTTTGTCCACATGTGTGCCACACATGCACACAGTAAAGGCTGGATTGTAAATCTGCAGGGCTCCCCCCCCCCGCAAAATTGCCATAACTCATGCTAGCAGCTGTATTGGTCAGAAGTAGTTTATGTCAGCAGGGGAAATGTGTCCACTCAAAGAAAAGTGTGAGTGTCAAAAGCGGTAGATAACCTTTAGTATCGCACCCGTCTATGAGTGAGATTTGCACACACACACACACACACACACACACACACATGCACACAGGGCTGTAGCTGTAACCCTAACTGCTCATCAGCAAAGTCATGAGCAAACATTGTCTGACCACACTTGAAGCAGAGCTCAGCTGCTCTATAATTGCTCCCCCACTTCACACACATACCACTGGAATATTATTTACTGCTGTTTCACACATTTTGCTTACACAGACAGTTATGGTTTCTGAAATTTAAACGACCTGCTGGCCTGCTTTATTAGCTAAATCCCATGTCAGAAATTGCTTTTATCCGCCCGTGTTACTGGAAATGTAAATTAAATTTTGTCATGATTTTATAGCTTTACTGTGTTGCATCATTTGCTGCCTGTGCATCCTACGCACACACACACACACACACGCACACACACACACACGAGAAAGACTGAGAAACACAGTGCTGCGTTGGTGTCTGTGATGACGGCGCAGCATGCCGTTGGCAGAGGTTAAAGGGCAAAGTTTGCTTACCTGTCAATGATGACAGGGTCTGATGGGGTCTCATTCCTGTTGCCACAACTCTTCTTATCGCAGCATCGACTGTAGGGAAGCAAGAGAAGAGGAGGGGGGCAGAGACAAAGAGGACTTAGTCACCAAGATGTGAATGTAGAGAGCATGATAAGTTACAGGGCAGAGAGGAAATCAGATGAGTGTAAAGGAAAGAGAAAGAGGAGTAAAAGGGCGTGAGACTTTTGTGGAGTTTAAGAAGAAACATGAATGGGATTTCTGTCAGGCTTGCTGAGGTAAGACCAGGGCTCTAACACTACAGCAGGTGAGATCAACAGGGTGATCTTAGGCAAAGTTTGGAGGAGAAGAGCAAAAGCAGTGAACTTGAATGGAGCTGGATCCAAACTTGAATTAGCCTCCAGGGCTCAGGTTAGCTCCATTTCTGTCAGACATCACATAACCAGACATCTTATGTTCTCTGTTTTTGCTCAGTGCTCGTCCCCTCCTGTTATCCTGCCTCTCTCTCCCGCTCTTTCTCTCTCTCAGAAGTGGGTCACAGAGTGGTCCCACTGGACTTGGGGAGTATTGCATGCCGGGTAGAAGGGGGATGCATACTGATGTGACGGGTCCTTTCTGAAGCATGTGACAGTGTAATGCAGCACAATGTAACTGTGTCTTGTGAGACATCAACCCCCTTATATCCCCCAAAAAGTATCATTGTGTCTACTTTTTCTTCTCTGTCTGCTCATCTGTGCGTACAATATGCATGCCTGTGTGTACCTGTGTCTGACTGCCTGTGTGCATCAACTGTATTTGTGTGGAAGGAGATGAAGACAGACACAAAAGAGAGTGTGAGATGAGGGGAGAGAGAGAGAAAGACTGAGACACCCCCCTCCCATGTCCCTCAGGACAGGACTTGGAGAGCCAGATCAGATTTCTGATCTCGACTGTTTCCTGCAGCATATGAAAACAAGTGGTCTAAAGTGCCTTGTGTAATAACCAGGAAGTGGCTACACTTTTTTGCCACTAGCCATTTTTCCACATGTAACCCTCTGTGTATTTCTGGATGGCTGGTTTGGGAGAGGACAATCACATGCTGCGTGATGCTTTTATTGATTGAAAATAGCCTGTGAGAGCTTTGCTTGCTTACTACTTTTTAGTGTGTGTGTGTGTGTGTGCGTCTGTATTTTATGTGTAATTCGAGCCCGTCCCCCTCTGCACATAGCTCACTGTCAGGACACAGCAAACTGCATGTATTACACAGACTAAGGAGGATGGGTTTGAGTAATGAGCTTTTCCTTGTCCTAATTAGCTGAACATAAGAAGGATACACACACATATATACACTGACACATACTCACACACCCCTACCAACAGAAATAGGCCAGGGCCCATCTCCCCAACCCACTTTGAAGAAAATGATAAGATTTCTGTTGTAGTTTTGCATCGCTCCTCATGTCTTTGCCCCCTCTTTACACCAACAGAGACACCTCCACCGCAAGAAGAACATTCATCTTGATCTGGACTATTAAGCATCGTCTAGATCAAGTAAGAAAGTTGTAGCTGGGTGTATTTTTTCTTACCTGCACATAATCTCATGGGTCAACAGGACCCGACACATCTCTGGATTTTTATCCTGGCCCTCGTAGACAATCGCCTAAAGAAGAAAAAACATATATATATACATATAATGTCAACCAGGATGCAGGGGCAAAGAAGAAACAGAAGACTGTGTATGTTTCATCTGGAAGTAGTGTTGTCTAATCTAGCAAATGTGTGTATCGTGGAAATCCAGTCCTCCTGAACAGGAACGCTCTGTTCTGACAGAGACAGTAAGAGAGAAATTATTTGTGTATGTGCGTGTGTGTGTGTGTGTGTGTGCATGCTTGTATTTGCGCATGTGTACCCCTGCGTGTGCATATTTGTTTGTGCGTGCTTGTGTGTTTATATGCGGTGTACAGTGAGCAGTTGGACTGCCAGACTGGAGTGTAGTGCACCATCTGGTCCATGCAGCACAGCGTCCAAAAATCTAGTCTGGTTACCCCTCCAACCCCACTCAACATGCTCTCCAGGGCTGTGATCACCCTGCGCACACACGGAAAAAAACATGCAAACACACGCGCACATCCATGTGCGCACAAACAACATCCCCTCCAACTCCCTTCATTCTAAGGCAACTGTCTTCAAGCCTAATGGCACTAGAGGCAGAACTGGCAAAACAAAAGACCTGATATCAAGACAGCATTGAAAAGGCTAATTTTCTTCATTATCTAATTCATCCTAACGGAGAATCCCCTCAGTGTGCGGCAGCCCACATGTGCTGCTATGTATTTCGCTGTGTGACGGAATCGGCCATAACATACTTTGGGATAGTTTGTTCTGTTTCACATTGAAGAAATGAGGGTCAAGGTCCTCAAAGAGTGAGCTGGCATGCATCACTGTCTCTCTCAAACACTAACACAACCGCTTCTGTGCCTCACTGAGATATTCACACCCAATATGTGCACAATCACACTATCTCTCTCACACGCACACATACACACCTACTGCCTGATGCTTGTAAAAACACATGCACACCATCCCCACTTACTGGCTGCTGTGCAGAGGTAAAGTATGAGGACACATGTCCTCTACTTTTCTGGGCCTCTGTAAATGTATTCCACAGGTAAGACAGGTCGTTTATCAAGCCGGCTGTACTGTGCTGAAGTTGAGGGTTTCAGACATGGGCATGCAGCAGGGTGGGAGGGCGGCACAGTTGGAGGTAGGGGAAACATTCACACCAGCACAACCACTGGGCTGATGCAGAGCTTTTAGTTTCATGCAGAACCTTTTACCTGTTTAGTCATGGAGTCAATGAGACGGACGTACAAGTCCTGCTCAGTCCTGATACCTGCAGAAAGCCAGAGAGGGAGGGTGTGGGGTGGGGTGGGAGGGAGACAGAGAGAGAGAGTGTGTAACTTGCAGATTTGACTTCATATCTGAAAGAAAGCTTTCCCCATTTTTGGGGAGATTTCAAATCACACATTTTATTCATTCTGACTTTCCCCATGAGACACTTAGAGAAACTGGATGAGTCCAAACTGGTACTAATGACTTTCAGTCTTTGTTGCATCATGCTAGTTTACTTGGGGCTAAAATAAAAATAACACAAATAACAATAATATTAATCTCTTCACCTTTATTTTATCTCTAAAAAACATTTATTTTATTTTCAAAATTATATTCAATATAATTTAATTATTCAATCAAGACTAAAAACTAAACATTAATTAGAAATAATTCATTTTGCACACTTGGGTTGTTTACTCTTTCCGAAGTAGCCCCCCCCCAGAGAAAATACATTTACTGTAGGAATCAGAACGTAAACAACAACAACAACATAATAACAATAATAACAATAATAGTAGTACAGTTAAAGTGTAAACAACATTAGCAGCATTTTATTAAACAGGTAAAGTGCTGCTAATCATTCATGGTAAACAATTAAAGTAATTCAACCAAATGATTAAGCATATGGCGTCGTGAGTTTCCTGAGTTTCCTCACTTTGCTGTGTCGTATCATGAACTCGCTGTTTTTGTTATCGCTCCAATAAGATGATGGAACTCACCGTTACTGTAGAGGAGCTGAAGTCTATAATGGATCCCATTGTTGGTCTTTTCCCCCGTCGTTTCCTGGGAAAATTAAACCAAAACAGACCCGATCAGAGCAAACCACCTCCTCCTGTGACTGTACTGCGCGTCCACAACTTGATATTTGTGCATTGCTAACATGTTACTCTCCCTGCAAGAAAGGTCCAGTTTAAATCGCTTCATTTCTATCAGCCGATAAAAATGAAAAATAAAAAGGCTGTTTGCAACTTGAACAAGTTTTATTGTGACACTTGGCCAAATATAAACTCAAACTTCCAAATAAATATATATTTAGTAAAATCGCTTTCTTTATAAAAGAGGCCTATTCAAACTTTATTAAACGTTTTTAATGTTGCTACATGCATTTAAAGCATTTTAAAAACATTAATAATTGGAGACATTTATTATTATTATATCAAATAAATCATGGCGTAATGATAAAATATTCTTTAAATACTGACCAACAGTAGATTTATTGTACTATACTGTTGAATAACATACATTTATACAGTTGGTCAGTTACTCACGTTTAATCCCATTGTAATTGAACTAATATTTCACTTGATCTGTTTAAAAATGTAATTTAATGTCTGCAGGAATGGACGACACGCTGCTGAACTGTTAGACGTCATTGGTGGGTGTAAAGATGGGTAAAAAGTTTTACGCACTTGATTTAAACCTTCGTGTAATTTAGTGTAACATTAAATTCGAAGGTTTTGTAATTATAGAAGAAAGCAGAAATAACCAGACGTCTGTGAGTCGTTCAGGAAACCACATGTAAAAACACATCTGT